GGGGTTAACCTACAATTTCCTATATGGGAAACGTATGGATGTTTTACAGACATTTTCAGTTCCCCTCACTTTCTTGGGTGTTCGTAAAATAATTCCATTACATGGCTCCACACCCCCCAACACACACACTTTTTGTACCGTGGGGAAACTAGGGGATTAGGGGGCAGGGGGTCTGGCTCTGTCTGGCTATTTAATTTCAACGATAATTTATTTCCTGGTCGTGTTAATAATACTACAAAAGTATGGGGTAATAGTTGCGAGGATATTCAATACTCAATAGCAATACTTCAGAGTATATTAAAATTACGAGCCATTGACACATCCGTGACATAACACATGTATTAAAACATTATCTTACCAGAAACCCCCATAGTCGGGTCGTTAGATGAATATTCTTCAGCATACCGTCCATCTGATCGACCAAAATTCATGATGGACACCAAATAAAACACGATTTTTAAACGATTTTAAAAACACTTGCCATCTTCACAAAATGACTGAAATTTTTTCTGACGAAACACGCGTGTGAAGATTGCATAATCGCCGGTTACAAAACTCCGATGGGGTTTGTTTACCCTCAAGTTTCCTGGGGACGTTATGCCGCCATTCCCGCCTTTTGTGACAATTCCCACAGATTGGTCAATTTTTACCGATAAGTGTACGAGACGGGGGGTGGTGGGAGACTGGGGTGGGAGATAGGTGGGGGTGGTGGGAGATGGGGAGGGAGACGACGGCAACAGCGAAAAAAAAATTTTAATTTGAAGTTGGGCAAATGGTAAACATAAGTTGGGGAAATAAATCGAAAAGCCAGAAATATGTAAGATAATGGTAAAAAATGCAAGAATATAAATATATTTGCCTTAAATGCAATTACAAACATTCTGCTTTATTTATTTATTATTACTGTATCACATATTTTGTCTTTTGACGACTGCCTGGCTGACCAACGTACTGATCAACAATTGACTGACTGACTGACAAATAGACCGACCACTTGATGACCGACCACCCATCCATGTACGAGATATACATACATATATGTATAACTAAGTCTATAGACAACAGTGCTTCAGTATCTTCATCACTTTCATGTTAATACTGCACATTGGTCTTAAGACATCATGTTTTTGTGAAAATACTTCAACTTCAAACAGTCTTTCTATGATTGGAATTAATCAAGTTTGGTGACATTAAACGAGTTGTTGTCCATAAGCTCCCACACTTTTTCCTTCAACGTGTTAACAATATCGCTGGAGATAAACAAATGTGTTTCGTCTAAGTCTTCCAGTACAAATTTCCTGCCGAATGCTAAAGTTTCGTCCAAATGCAACAGGAATTGCTTTAAAACTGCATCACTAAATAATGATAATGCATTGTTTAAATACTTTTTGTGAGACAAAGGTCAAATTTGGAATTTCCACATTGGGTGGAGGTCATTTTCAAGGCCAATACAAATATTTACAAGCTTTCGTTGGTAGGGATGCAATTACCTGAAAAATATAAGGAGAATTTCGACGTTTCAAGCCCTTCGTCTGGAGCTACTTTGCTCAAAACGTAGAAATTCTCCTTATGTTTTTCAGGCAGTTGAATACCTACCAACAAAAGTTTCATTTCCAGGGTAGGGTGATTCATATGTGTAAGGAATTTTCTAGACAAGGGAGTGAAAATTATTCAGGACTTCCAAGGGAGATGGTCATTTCTGCATGGAAATTCCAGGGAATAGGGTCAGAAAAACCCCTTCCTCAACCAGGGCGGTGCGGATATTAATTGGAATAGCCCAATGCAGAATTTGATGTGACAAATGAAATAATCAAATATGAAGAAAATTATAGAAGAATCAGAAGGCACTTGGCTATTTTAATGTGGTGTTTGACAATTTAAGCTAACCCCTGACCAAATCCAAAACTTGCCCACCAACCTAGGACCTGCAATTTTGACTGTACATGACAAGATTGCTGAAATAATTTAAAATTTCTTACCATTCAATCAAAACACCTTTCAAAACATTCACCATCTTGGATTTTGTTTCCACTTGCAATTTTGAAAATTGAAAAATTCAAAAATAAAATTTCCTATTGGAAATTATTGGAATGGTGTTCACACTTCATCCGATGGTTTTCAGTGGTTTCAGAATTAAGTGTTTCGGACTCATAACTTTCAAATTCATACAATTGATGAACTTCAAAAAATACAATATATAAAGTAGTACATCTTGACCCTTCCAACTCTTGACCTTCCATGTTCCAACAATGAAATATGAAGCCATTTTATAATAGTATTATTAATTAAATTAATATATACAAAGTGCCTATACAGCCGGCAGCAGGCCATGTAGTAAACTGCCAGCTATATAGTGACTATAGTTAAATATAAAAACTTTGTTTGCAATGGCTTTTACTGAGCTTGCCCAATGCCGTCAGTGAATACGGTAAAGGCGCTGTGTGCGGAAAGTGAAACACAGTCCAAGTCGGGTTGTGTTTTAGGGTTAGGGTTAGAGAAGGGTTTGGGGTTGGGATGGGTTGATCTTATAAAAATTAAACTTTAACCATAAATGTCCATAATCACTATATAGCCGGCAGTTTACTATTAATAGCCAGCTACCGGCTGTATAGTCACTTCGTAATTTTCACACATTTATTCTAAACTATTTTCCTTTTATTTCCTCATCTAAACGTTCAATATCCTCTTTAAGTTTTTCCATTCTCTCAATATGGCACTGTTCTGCAAGTTCTCGCGAAGAGTTTGTCTTCTCCTCAAACGTTTTCCATTCTTTTTCCATTCTTGTTCGCCTTTCTTCGACTTTCTCCACGTCTTCCTCGGGCAGTTTATTTTCCAGCATAGTGTTTGCCTTCTTTAACGCATTTTCGGTTCGGTCCAGTACGGTTTGAACATGTTCTTTCGACAAATTTTCTACATCAGGAAGCAAAGTTTCGATGTGAGCACAATTCACACTGGCTTGGTTTAGGCGCGAAGTTTCTCTGTCTTTACGCTTCGTTTCAAATTCTTGAACGTAGAAGTTCACTTCTCTCTGTATGGGACCCTGATGGTTAAATAATTTGCTGTAAACATCACCAATATCTCGAACTAACTTTTCGGCAGACATCTTGTTTTCGAGCCCTAAGAATACTTCATGTAAAATACCATATTGTGTACTGTTCTTATATGTACCGTCGTTTGCATCTACACACGTAAAAATGCACAAGTTGTTGCAAGTCTGCAAACAAGTTGTTACAAATTTATTCACAAGCTGTCAACAAGTTGTGTTCGCACTGCTTGTTCCCAGTTGTTGTAACAAGTTTGGAACAAGCTGTTAATAACTTGTAACAAGCTTGATGGCATCAGATTTGTAGCAAAGTTGTTCTAACAAGTCTGATACAGTCATGATATAACAAGAATGTTACAAGGTTGGCCGGACACAAGGTTGTAACAATATTATTATATCACGACTGTATCGGACTTGTTGGAACAACCTTGCAACAAGTTTGATAATATGAACAAGGTTGTTACAGGTTATGATTGTGATGTTACTCTGAGTGCATATCCACACCGGGCGAGCTTGAAAAATATGCCCGGCCACGGTGGGATTCGAACCTACGACCTTTGGAATACTAGCCCAATGCTCTTCCAACTGAGCTACGCGGTCAGGAC